ATAAACAAAAGAAAACAAAACCATTTATGCTTCCTTATTTTTCATCACTGATACAAGCAATCCAGCAAGTAGCAAAAAAAAAAAAAATAGAACGGAACTTTGTTCATCTTTTCTGACTGACGCTATTGCTCAAAGCCCTGATTACACCCACTCAAAAGTTGAACTGTGCTAAACTTTTGCTGGACTCCCTGTCCTCTTTTATTTGCTTATTTTGATCTTAAAAGTAATTTTTAATTGAAGTATAGTTGATTTAGAATATTATGTTAGTTGATCTCTTTTATTTCTTTTTTCTACTTCTTTTTATAAAATAGTTTAATTGGATTATAATTGCTTCACTATTTATTTAATTTTTTATGGTAGCTTACACCTCATTCCACCTGAAAATGTTTTTGAACATAATACTGTACTGGAGAAAGACAATTGTGTAGCAAAAAGCAAACAAATAAAAACCAAAAGAAATCACCCCCCCCAAAAAAAAAACTATTTCCTACTCAAAATGCTTCTAGAGGTACTGCGTTAAACTAAAACATTTTTCTCCATAGCAGGACTGTTCAGAGATTTTATATCTGAATCGTGTATCTAAAATGGTGTCTAATAAAATGAATATTTGTTGAATAAATTAATGATGTATTTTGTAAAATTTCTGTAGGGGCATCCAATTTGCAACTTTTTATTTTCTTTCTTGGTCACTGATTTCTACTTAGCTCTTTAATAGATGTTGAATAAATGAACAATATCTAAAGCATGTATTTACAAATGTATACATTTATAAAGCAATGCTTTGTCCTCTAGCTCTTTGAGTAATAAAGGTTATTGTTATTAATATATCAGCAGTACTAATAGTTTTAACTGCAATGACTGTAATAATATGAAGTATTAACCACATGCACTGTTACAATGATAAATGTTCTAGAAACTCTGCACCTCATCTCAGTTTTGCAAAATCTGAGGATATATAAATCACTGTACACATTCTATAGGTACAGAACTGAGAAGAGGATTTGGAATCTAAAAAATTTTCTTTGAGAACCTCAAGAATCAATTATGTGAGGACATATTTGCTGTTTGGTAGCATTTAAATGTGGTTTAGTGAGAGTCAATATGAAGAAAAGAATGCTTTATTGTAAAAATTAGGTAAATAATTTGGTTTTTCTAAAAGAGAATAATAAACATATGGAGTACATCATGAAGAAAGGCACATTAACTAAATGTATATTAAGTTTAAGAGAAAAAAAGGCAAATGGTATTTCTTTAGGGAAAAGCTAAATATCGCCTGTTCTACTGTCTTTGCTACCAATTAATGTGGTTCTATTATTTGTGGTATTAGAACTCATTTGTTTTACTCTGTTTTACCCAGTTATGAAGACTCAAATCATTTGAGTGGAAAAAAACAGAGACTGTGCAATTGTTTAGTATTAAGTAGATTAAATAATTTGTTCACTGGTGTTTTACTTAGGTACTTGGGAATATGCAGAAGGGTGAGACTCACTTTTTACATAAAAATTAAGACAAGTATATTGGACTATGTACATTTCTTCCATTACTGAAATTCTGTACGTTTTGTCACCTCATTTTCTTGCTCTTTTGGGTTTGGGTGGTTATAAATATCCCCCACTCAAACCTATAGTCTCAATTATTTCTCTATATTAAAGAATATCTGATAATTATAAATTCTTGACTCCCATACAAGCATGTACAGTCCTGTAAGTCTGTTTAAATAATAAAAAATATAATAAAACCTGGGAACCCAAGAAAGATCCCTCTATTACACGATTAGTATGTGCTTTCCAGACCAAGGGGGGATGTTCCATTTATAACTCTCATTTGTTTCCGACCATCGTGGCCAAGTTTCCACTTACTGCGTGTCTCCTTGCCATCATCTTAACTTCCAGTTTGGAGCACTGTAAACTGTTTCTCAACCCTTAAATTAAAGCAAATGATATCCACTCCACATGTACCACCAATTTGACTAGAAGCCACTTCAAAGATTCCATTTTAAAGAATGAAGTATGGCCAGTGCTTCCTGAAGCCAAAGTTGGCCTGCTTCATAATGAAGTGGAACTTTCTCTGATTTCCCTTCTATTTAAACACTGGCAGCTTTTTCTTCTAAGGCATATTTTTTCTCCTCCACTCAAGGTAATCCTAGTTATTGTTGTTGTTGCTGCTTTTATTGGGGAGGAGACAGGATACAGGAAACAGGGAGGGGTCCAGGCTGACACTGTCTCACTTCGTGTTGCTGGGGGACCAGCACACATGGGTTTGCAAAGACATTCCATGTCTAGATGAACACAGACCTCCCAAAACACTGACAAGACTGTCTCAGCCACACACAGATTCAAAGAGAAAGGTGTGTATATATTTCACACTGCCACTGGCTTAAAAACTGGATGCCACTGTTGGAAAGCAGACAGTAGCAAAGACAAACTCTACAACTCTAGTGGTTAGCTCCCCCGGCAGGTCTCTGCTTTTTGACCATTTCCTCAAAAGTTCACTTGAACTGGCCACGCAGGCTACATAGTGCTTCTTACACAAGCCGCTCTGACCCTCCCCTCTGCCCGCTTACACAGTGACTGCACGTCAAGTTCCCGTTGTGGCCCCCGACAGGCTCCAAGCGCACTTTCCTCCCTCATATACTTAGAGCTTGTGCACACAATGCCCAGGGCTTGAGGACACGCTCCCTCATAACTTGTACAAGAACAGAGCAGAAAATCCACCCCTCCCCTGACAACACACACATATACATAGATGCAAACACATACACACATATGCACACATGTATATACACACAGAGACATACACACAGATTCCAAACAGTTCAGCTTAAATTTAAGATATGTTCCTTCTGACAAGATTTACATTCTTCCTGACACCCCTAGGTATTACCAATCCACAGCCACTCATCTGCTCAGGTCTTTCATATTCTGCAGGCAACGTGAATTTGAATCCTAAATTCACATCAGGGTCAACAAGCCAGGAAGTGGAAAGGGAGCTTGTGTATTTCTCCCTTACTCACAGCCAAGGCCTTGAGAATGACTATGCTTGCCGCCTTCTCCCTTTGTGAGCTGGAAGTTGTGCTGGTTCATCCTTTTTGAAAGAGGATGTGGTATTTGGTGGGGGTCAGGTTCTGACCTTTGCTCCCCATCTTGCTTTGGGCCAAGCGTTCTTTCCTACACCCGCACCCCGTATGGCTGTTACAGAATGGATGGGCAAACGCTCCAGAACTGGAGTTCTCATCTCTGTAAATGGAGACTTTGCAGCTCAACTAACTCAGCAAATGTTATAAAGCTCAGCTTCCCCTCTGAATAATGTTATTAGCTGACTTTTCAGCTCCTAGGACATCATCCTCTCTCTCCAAGGCCTTTTGCCCGAGTGGTGTTTCATCTGCTTGAACATTCTTTCCACACACGGATGCCCCCACCCCCCACACACCCCTGATTGGAGTTCCTTTCTTTTTGTTCTTTTTTCTTTTTCTTTTTTCTGTCACAACCCCCAGCATGTGAGACCTCAGTTCACAGACTAGGGATTGAGCCTGCACCCTTTGCAGAGGGAGTATGGAATCTTAGCCAGTGAACCACCAGGTAAGTCCCTCTTCTCATTCTTTGCATCTGATTTTAGACTCCTCAGATAGGTCTTCCTTAACTGTCACAACCAGGCAACAGAAATATTTCACACTGGAGCATTTTCAAGAGGCATAAAGTTTAAAAATTAGATGTTTGGGCTTTCGGAATTTCCACTATAAGCCCTGGATTCCCCCAAACTAAGGTATCACTCATTATGCAATAAATATGGTACATGAATAAAATATAACCCAAAGCATTACCATACAGAGGATATATCCATATGTGAAATGAGAGAGAGACACACACCCAGACACACACATGCACACACACACACACACACACACACACAGACCTCTCCAGGAACTTGCTGGTGAGGAACACTTAATAAGTTACAGTTGCAGCTGAACACAGAATCCTGAAGCAGTGCCTAGTTCTCTATTGTTTTAGAAACTAGAAAGAAGGAAAATTGTCAAAATTCCCACGCCCCAAAGTCCATGGGATATCATTTTTTCTTCTAATTCAATACAGTGTTCCTTGCCTGCTTCCAGAGGATAAATAAGGATTTGTGCACATATGTTACAAAGTCCAAATAAGCCCTTGTGGGGCTTGATCTTCACAGGGTTTTTTTAACTTCTGCCAAACAACTGTGCACTGCAGGACAGTGACATTAAGCTTCAGGCATTGATTTTCAGCCTCACCAAAAAGCTTTCAGACACTCTTATCTTTAGTTGTCAAAATCTTAGGTTCAAAGAACATCCAGTGAATCTATTTTTAGTCAAGTTTAAGAAATAGCATTGATTTAATAATAAATATTTTAAAATGCAATTTATGTGTTCTTTTCAATAAATACATTAAAAAGAACTGAGGTACCATTAGAATTTAATAAGCAATTCTAAATCCTCCAACTTTCTAAATCTCTTGATTTTGATCAGAATATACTTGATAAAAACCAGGGGTTCTTTCAAAAGGATGCTTGCCAACATCAGGAAAACATCTTAAACAAAATACTCTATATTTCAGCACCATATTTCCTCATCACAGAGCACCAAATTATCCAAAAGAGCATAAGTTACATGATTACAACAGTACGTGCTACTATCTCTGTGCTTTGCACCCCCAAAATACCATCATTTTTCAGTAAGGCCGAGCGCAAGTGAGAGTTGAAAGAAACAGACATAGTCCTGAGAATATTAATGCTCTTTAAAAGAATAAATTTAGGGATTTTACCAAATCAAATGAACTGTAATAAGAGACACCATTGCCCAAAAAAAGCATGTGCAAATTGACAAATATTTCCTCAGTGTGTGCTGTGGGTGGACTACTGTTTAAATATGATATTCTTAGCAATTTATAAATACTCTCTCACTAGAGTTCTTAACACATTTGTATGTCAAACAAGTATACACACGTTTACACACACACACAAATAATACAAAATACCTGAAGGGCCGTGAGGATATTTGCTAAGGCTTGTCCGTAGGTGTCATGACAGTGAACAGCAAGAGCTCTGGGTGGGATTTCTTTCATGACACTTTCCAACATCTTCTTCATGCTTCCTGGAGTTCCCACTCCAATTGTATCTCCCAGGGATATCTCGTAACAGCCCATGCCATACAGTCTCTTAGACACCTACCAGGAAAAGCAAGCAAGTAAAACAATGGAAATCAATGGACTCAACTCCTGCTGTTCCTCAGCAAACACAACCTAGAGGTGAACATCACAACTAAGATCACATGCGTATTCATAGAAAACATATATTTTAGTTTTCTAGTCTTTTTCCTTGCTCGTGAATCCCAAACATTACATAAAACTTTGAATGACATTTCTGTTGTTGTTCAGTCACTAAGTTGTGTTTGACTCTTTGAGACCCCAGGAACTGCAGCACATCAGGCTTCCTGTCCTTCACTGACTGTCTCCCAGAGTTTGCTCAAACTCATGTCCATTGATATTCCTGCAATTATCTGTTTCTAACATTCAAGTTTGCCTTAGAACCATATCTATCTGTGTAACTGCAAGTTCAATGATAAAATTATACATTATAATTTCAATTATGGGAGGCTTATTTTCTCAGCCCTTTAATCTAACAAAAGTATCAGAAATTTACTTTGAAACTATTAATAGTATTCCTCAAGCCATTAGACTAGTGGTCAAGAGATATCAATCAAGTAACTTTGTAATTGATACAGACACAATATTTTTGTCTTAAAATTTCTAGCTCATAAACAGATGATCTTAAGCCTAGTAAATTTCAAGTTCCCTTCAAGTCAAATAATAATATTACTACCAAAGAGCAATATGATTTGATTTAAGACAGCATGGTATGTTGACAAAGACTCTGCTTGTGCAACCACACAGGCCTAGATTTAAATCTCATCTATGCTCCTCATGTGATGCTGGGCAGAAAATGAACATTTTGAAGCCCCAGTCTCTGTTCTGTAAAATACAAACAGTAAAACATCTTTATATAGGACATTTTCTAAGCCTTACTACTTAACTTTTTGAAATCATAATAATAAGGTGAAGTCAGTGTTGAAATGTTTGGTTGTGAAAATGAAATGAGAATATATAAAAATCACTTTGTGCAAAATCAGACACCTGGTCACCGGCAAACTCATGCCTTATGTGTGTCTTCATTGCCTATTTTACTCCAGATGCTGCCCTGAATGGTGGGATATGACAGGGATGCAGATGTCCAGGCTCATGGTATCATGGAGTCTGGAGCCAAGTGAGGACAGACCCTAATCAATTCCACTCGGGAATGTGCAAACACAGCTAAAATAATAATTTTAGAACAAAGAAACAAGATTGTAAGAGCATGGAGCAAAGGATATTGACCTAAATCTGTCAAACAGGAAGGGCCTCAGTGCAGCCTGAGATAAAGTCAGCATCAACTTGTTGGAGAGGTGGCAAAGGAAAGATGTGAGAATATTCAGGTGGAATTTGAGGCAACTAAAATATCAAATATGAAGGGCATTCCAAGTAGGAAGGAAAGTCAAGGGAATTCCCTGTTGGTCCAGGGACTAGGCTCTGTGCTTCCACTGTAGGGGATGCAGGTTCAATCCTTGGTCAGGGAACCAAGATCCCACATGTCAGGAAGCAAGGTGAAAAAAAAAAAAGGTCAAATGCAAAGGAAAGTTGCAACAAGAAAGTAAAAACTAAGGGGCAATAGGGCTCCATAAAGCTGGGGAAGAAGGCCCAGGGCAGAGCATTCAAAGAACGCACAGTCTTGCAAACCAACTGGGTTTAGGATTTGGGTTGAGGATTCTATCATCAGAGCGGTAGAAAACCTTAACTGAATGTGGAATGATAAACTTGGATTGATGTTTCAGAAAGGCAGCATCAATCAACATCCAAAACAGGTTGAAGGCACTCAGAAGGGCTACCTAGTCCAGGCTCAGTTCAGTTCAGTTCAGTTGCTCAGTCGTTTCCGACTCTTTGCGACGCCATGAATCGCAGCACACCAGGCCTCTCTGTCTATCACCAACTCCCGGAGTTTACTCAAACTCATGCCCAACGAGTCGGTGATGCCATCCAGCCATCTCATCCTCTGTCATCCCCTTCTCCTCCTGCCCCCAATCCCTCCCAGCATCATGGTCTTTTCCAATGAGTCAACTCTTCACATGAGGTGGCCAAAGTACTGTAGTTTCAGCTTCAGCATCAGTCTTTCCAATGAACACCCAGGACTGATCTCCTTTAGGATGGACTGGTTGGATCTCCTTGCAGTCCAAGGGAATCTTAAGAGTCTTCTCCAACACCATAGTTCAAAAGCATCAATTTTTCGGTGCTCAGCTTTCTTCACAGACCAACTCTCACATACATACATGACCACTGGAAAAACCATAGACTTGACTAGATGGAACTTTGTTGGCAAAGTAATGTCTCTGCTTTTTAATGTGCTATCTAGGCTGGTCGTAACTTTCCTTCCAAGGAGTAAGCATCTTTTAATTTCATGGCTGCAGTCACCATCTGCAGTGATTTTGGAGTCCAAAAAAATAAAGTCTGACACTGTTTCCACAGTCTCCCCATCTATTTCCCATGAGGTGATGGGACCAGATGCCATGATCTTAGTTTTCTGAATGTTAAGCTTTAAGCCAACTTTTTCACTCTCCTCTTTCACTTTCATCAAGAGGCTTTTTAGTTCCTCTTCACTTTCTGCCATAAGGGTGGTGTCATCTGCCTATCTGAGGTTATTGATATTTCTCCCAGCAATCTTGATTCCAGCTTGTGCTTCATCCAGCCCAGCATTTCTCATGATGTACTCTGCTTATAAGTTAAATAAACAGGGTGACAATATACAGCCTTGACGTACTCCTATTCCAATTTGGAACCAGTCTGTTGGTCCATGTCCAGTTCCAACTGTTGCTTCCTGACCTGCATATAGGTTTCTCAAGAGGCAGGTCAGGTGGTCTGGTATTCCCATCACTTTCAGAATTTTCCTCAGTTTACTGTGATCCACACAGTTGAAGGCTTTGGCGTAGTCAATAAAGCAGAAACAGATGTTTTTCTGGAACTCTCTTGCTTTTACAATAATTCAGCGGATATTGGCAATTTGATCTCTGGTTCCTCTGCCTTTTCTAAAACCAGCTTGAACATCTGGAAGTTCTTGGTTCACATATTGCTGAAAACTGGCTTGGAGAATTTTGAGCATTACTTTACTAGCACGTGAGATGAGTGCAATTGTGAGGTAGTTTGAGCATTCTTTGGGATTGCCATTCTTAGGGATTGGAATGAAAACTGACCTTTTCCAGTCCTGTGGCCACTGCTGATTTTTCTAAATTTGCTGACATATTGAGTGCAGCACTTTCATAGCATCATCTTTCAGGATTTGAAATAGCTCAACTGGAATTCCATCACCTCCACTAGCTTTGTTCATAGTGATGCTTTCTAAGGCACACTTGACTTCACATTCCAGGATGTCTGGCTCTAGGTGAGTGATCACACCATCATGACTATCTGGGTCATGAAGATCTATTTTGTACAGTTCTTCTATGTATTCTTGCCACCTCTTCTTAATATCTTCTGCTTCTGTTAGGTCCCTACCATTTCTGTCCTTTATTGAGCCCATTTTTGCATCAAATGTTCCCTTGGTATCTCTAATTTTCTTGAAAAGATCTCTAGTCTTTCCTATTCTGTTGTTTTCCTCTATTTCTTTGCATTGATTGCTGAGGAAGGCTTTCTTATCTCTCCTGGCTATTCTTTGGAACTCTGCATTCAAATGGGAATATCTTTCCTTTTCTCCTTTGCTTTTCACTTCTCTTCTTTCACAGCTGTTTTTAAGGCCTCCTCAGACAACCATTTTGCCTTTTTGCATTTCTTTCCCATGGGGATGGTCTTGATCCCTGTCTCCTGCACAATGTCACGAACTTCTGTCCATAGTTCATCAGGCACTCTATCAGATCTAGCCCCTTAAATCTATTTCTCACTTCCACTTAAAAGTCATAAGGGATTTGATTTAGGTCATACCTGAATGCTCTAGTGGTTATCCCTACTTTCTTCAGTTTAAGTCTGAATTTGGCAATGACTATTACTGGATGGAAACTTGGATTAAAAAAAAGCATAATGCTGATCCTCCTCTTCTCTTTTATTTAAGTATATCCATTCCGTTGTTAAATATCCAGGTCTTTGGAATCATATAGAAAGCATGTAGGTGATTGAATTTCTCTCTTTGATTCCATTGGGGGTTTTTTTGCCTCATGTAGATAGAGTCATTAATTATATCAAAAGACTATTAAATGGTGGAATTTCTTAATGGCCATGTAAAGAAAAGTGAAGCTGCCACCCAGTTGATTAAAGGAACATTCTATGTGTGGAGTCAGGGGAATCCCAGGGTTACAAGAATGGCAGGAAGGAAGGAATGTCATCAGCCCCAAATTATGCTGAGAATAAAGAGAAGGACTGAATAGGATCTCGCATGTATTTAAAAAAAAAATATTGCTCTACAATATTGTGTTAGTTTCTGCCGTACAACAAAATGAATCAGCTATATTTATACATATATCCCCTCTTTTTGGTATTTCCTTCCCATTTAGTTCACCACAGAACACTGAGAGGAGTTCCCTGTGCTATATATGTTGAACCAGAAAAATGATACGATGAACCGATTTGCAAAGTAGAAATACAGACACAGACATAGAGAACAAATCCATGGACACCAAGGGTCTAGACATCATTAGGGGCGTGATGAAGAGTTGATGCCATACAGATAGGGCACCACTGATGCATACAGCCCTTTGAAGTGTAGTTGTGGAGGGATGGAGAGGATTGTCAGTAACTAGCCAGCCAAAGATGCTGACTGAAGGAAGGAAGTTTTCAGAGGGAAGAGGCTTGTGCATGCTCAAGTGTCAACAGGAAGGGCTCTGCAGTTGCACATGCAGGGGAGTGAGAGAAGGGGAGGATTCGGCGGAGGGGACATGGTTTGCAAGAGTCATTTCAGAAAGTGAGACCAGGAGCTGGCCCCACCCTGGGGTGGAACAGAAGACCCAGGCAAGGTCACTGGTCATGAGTTCCTAACGCTTCTGATCTGTCTGTTCCGTGATTCTCTCTGGCAGCACCCCAGGCATTGTGGAGCAGAAATGAAGAGGCTGAGGCTGTGGGAGGTCTGTCCAGAGTAGGCATGAGGCAAAATGCAGAAGAGCAAGGGGTAGGGGTATAGGCAGTCAGAATTGGGTTTTGTGGAGTGTGAAGTCATATTATTTTGGAAACATTTTTCAAGAAAAGGATATATAACTGTGAATACAAATTAATAACAGACCCTTGGAAGGGTCTGATGCCAGCAAAGGACTGCAAAATTTAAGTTGTATGCAGATGCAAACTATTAAATATATAAGATGAATAAACAACTAGGTCCTACTATATAGCACAGGGAAGTATATTCAGTATCTTATGATACTGAATGGAAAAGAATATGAAAAGGAATATATAAGTATATGTTTAACTGAATAAGTTTTCTGTATAGCAGTAATTAACACAACATGGCAAATCAACTGTACATCAATAATTTTTTTAATTAAACTTCATTATTTTATAGTATATCTGCCTCTGCCTCTGGAATAATGGCAACTTGAATCTCGGCAAAAAGAGCTATGGGATCTAAAAAGAATAAAAGCAGGGAAGCAGTGTGGACTCATACAAATGTCAAAACAGGCAGGAGACAGCGGAGGGACACCACCTGAGCAACCAAGGCAAAGAATTAAGGACATGTGCAAAAACAGCCCTGACATTCCAAAAGAAAGCAGACAGGCTACTCACTATGTTCTATTCACATAAAAACAAAACAGATGTTTTTATCCGTTCCATCTTTGAACATCCAAATGATAAGACTCAGATGCTAACTCTGGACAGTGATAGCCACTATCTAGGTCTTTAGCATTAAAATAAAACTATTAGCTCAGTGATCAAATATGTCTCCCGGTCCATGGTTCTTTTGGCCTTGTGGTGCAGATGTAATAAACAGTAGGAAAAAGACCCCATTTAAAAAACTAGACATCATTTTACCATGAACCAGAAAACCAGACGTATATCTTACTTCTGTCACTTTCTGAAGTGTGATGTTTCCTTCATATGGACAGCCCAGGGCACAGGATACATACCTAAGTTTAAAATACAGAGCCATATAAATATGTGTCTGTAGATAAGCCACTTCCTAATTTCCACTGTATAAAAATGAAAAGAATAGACAAACGTTCATCAAACAAATTTATTTTACTCTCTTTTTTCATTATTATCGTATTCTCAGATCAAACAAAAACAACTGGAAACATTTTCAATTTACTCATATTTTTAATTTAAAATTTTTTCTAATTATAATTTGATATATGTTATTTGATGGCAGATGGGAATAAGTATTTATCTGTTGGGGTTGCCTACACTATAGTAATAAACAAAAGCAGAAAATACCAGAGAGATGTATCTTTATTTTTGTTGTTTTTTAAAAAAAAAATTTTTGGTTGTTGCATGTAGCATGTGGGATCTTAATTCACTGACCAGGGATTCAACCTGTGCCTCTTGCAGTGGAAACATGGAGTCTTAACCACTGAACCACTAAGGGAGGCCTGAGATGTATTGTTTTATTTAAATTAGTACATACATTCATCTGTTACATGTCCAGGTCTTTGGAATCATATAGGCAGCAAGCAGATGACTAACTGAACTTTTCTCTTCATTTCTGTATGGATGTTTTGACCTCACCAAGATACAGTCATTAATCACCCCAAAACTCCTAGAACTGACCACAACCTCAAACTTCACCTTGCCTATCTCTCATGGGTCTACCTAAATCATCCCCAAGACAATCAAAGACTGTCTAGTCTGTGTTTAAATGGCTCCAAATAAAGATATTCCATAAACTTCTTCAACCATTTAATATAAAAAGTCAAGCCTTTCCTGTAAGAATGATACACTTCCATCTGAAAGTATGAAACTTTAAGAAAAGTCTCTTTTTAGCTATTTTCAACTCAACACCAGTCCTGTTTTCTTAAAGATTTCTCAGACACATTACAACACTATGAATACAATGCATCATATGCCTGGTCATCAGGAATTAAGCAGTTCACACAAGGAGAGTGGTGGTGGGGAAGGAGACTGGAGACCCAGTTCTCCGGGGCTGAATACGAAAGGCTTTAGATAGCAAGGTCTTGAATGCTATGCCATGGGGTTGAAACTTTAAGATCACTCAAAATTATTCTGAAACACTTATATGACAAGATCCAATTTGTTTTCAAAAATGCAACTCATCAAAAACTCTGGAAGTGGGTACCACAGGAAGGGTGGAGGCAAAAACATGAGCAAAGATGATCCCATGTTTCTTTGATATGTGTGTGTATATATATATGTGTGTGTGTATGTGTGTGTATGTATGTGTGTATATATGTGTGTATGTGTGTATGTATATATGTGTGTGTGCATATGTGTGTGTGTATATATGTGTGTGTGTGTGTATATGTGTGTGTGTGTATATATATATATGGTTTGTGTGTATATGTGTGTGTGTATATGTGTGTGTGTGTGTATATATATATGGGTGTGTGTGTATATGTGTGTGTATATACATGTGTGTGTGTATATATATATATATATGTGTGTGTGTGTGTGTATATATATATGTGTGTATATATATATGTATGTATAACTGGATCACTTTGCTGTATAGCAGAAATTAACACAACATTTTAAGTCAACTATACTTGAATATTTTTTAAAAAAGATGCTGTCTCAATGCTATTCTCTCAGAACATCCCACCCTCACCTTCTCCCACAGAGTCCCAAAGTCTTTTCTGTACACCTGTGTCTCTTTTTCTGTTTTGCATATAGGGTTATCGTTACCATCTTTTTAAATTCCATATACATGTGTTAGTATACTGTATTGGTCTTTGTCTTTCTGGCTTACTTCACTCTGTATAATGGGCTCCAGTTTCATCCATCTCATTAGAACTGATTCAAATGAATTCTTTTTAATGGCTGAGTAATATTCCATTGTGTATATGTACCATAGCTTCCTTATCCATTCGTCTGCTGATGGGCATGGGCATCAAGGGTGAAACAGATCACCAGCCCAGGTTGGATGCATGAGACAAGTGCTCAGGGCTGGTGCACTGGGAAGACCCAGAGGGATGGGATGGGGTGGGAGGTGGGAGGGGCGATCAGGATGGGGAACACATGTAAATCCATGGCTGATTCATGTCAATGTATGGCAAAAACCACTACAATATTATAAAGTAATTAGCCTCCAACTAATAAAAATAAGTGAAAAAAAAAGAAAAAGAATAAAAAAGATGCTGTCAATTGGAAGATAAGCTACAAACTTCACAACAGGTTTTGGAGTAAAAACATGAAACATAGATTCAGTAATTCAGTATACATCCAGTGATCCCAAAGAGGCAACTGAATTTCAAAAGTATCAAAGCGTGAATATTTGGAATTGAAATAACTAAGCAGTTCTACAGCCACACAAGCAATTATGAGGACAGAGGAGGAGAAAAGAGGATAAATTTGAGTAAACTTTGGAAGCTATGCTGGACAGGAAACCCATCTCTCTGATCTTTCAATCACCATAATTTAAACTTAATGCTTGAGTGATCTTTACAAATTTAATGAAGATATGTGGAAAAGAAAACATTCTTATGTGAACACAGCCCTGAAGAAGATGCAAGGGAGGTAAAAGGCCACATATTTTCAATTCAGCTACAACGATGATAACGTGTTGAAAATAGAAGTACATTTATTCTGAACCCAAAATATCTATACAATTAAAAACAAAAGCCAAGCTCTCTAATTACATGTCATCCCACTAAAGGCAAAAACCAAAGCAAGCAAAAAGCAACAAATGTAATACAATATAGAACATGCACACCTCTCCTGTGTTCTCTTAACTCACATGGCGAAGCCTGGCCATCGTTGCCGTTTTGTGCCATGCCCCTAACTCTCTCGGGGTACATTTTCACTCACTCGAGTTTCCCCACCAGCCCTGCCCTGGCCTGTGGTTGACCTGATCCTCATCCTCCATTGCATGTTATCTTCACACATTCTTCTCCACCTCTTTTTTAACCTATTCACACATGGGTCTACGTTCTGCAAAGTGAATGCAATGACTCTCAACTGTGTTCATTAACTGCACTTTAACTTTCTAAAGCAGAGGTTGGAAGGGAAGGTCCAGAGGCCAAATCCTGCTCATCACTCTTTTCCAAATAAAAATTTTATTGGAGCAAAGCTATGCACATCTGCTCACCTATATTCCATGGCTATTTTGCATTATAATAACAGAACAGTAGCTGCATCAAAGATCATCTGACTCTCAAAATCTAAAATATTGCTACCTGGCTCTTAATAGAAAAAGTTTGCCAACCACTGGTAAAAAGTGAGGCATTTTCAGGAATGTGAAGAGGCCTCTGTCATGAAAAGAAGCTGCCATATCTGCTTTGGTGATGGAAGTTAGTTTCTAGACTTCTGCTCTTCTCAGACAGCCTACTACAGTACTTCTCAATCTTGGCTATACAGAATCATCTTAGAGAGCTTAAAAGCAAAAGACACTAATGGGTAGGACAAGCCAAACCACTTAAATCAGAAACTTGGGGGATAGAATCGAACTATCAATATATTAAAATAAAAAATTACCGCATTGCCAAAATTGAAAACCACTCAAGGAGGCCTTCAAGACAGCAGAGGAATAGGATGGGGAAACCACCTTCTCACAAATGTATCAAAAAATCTCGTCAGCCTGTGGAACAATTCCCGCAAAACATCTTGTGAATGCTGGCAGAGGACCCCAGGCTTCCATGGAGGAAAAGTTTCCGCACACCAGGGAATCCCCTCACACACTGGGGCAGTGGGGAGATGTGCAACCTCAAAGCGGAGCACAGCAAGAAAGGTGCTCCGAAGGCAAAAATTCACCACAGAGATTGCGCCAAACAGGACCTCTCAGCTGAGAAGCAGCTCACAGGCTCGCATTCGCCCACAGTGAGGGGCAGCTGGGGGCAGAGGCTCCGACCTGGAGGGCCAGTCCTCAGGAGAGGACAGGGTTGACTGTGAAGATACTCTGAGGGGGGCTAACATGACACCACAGAGGCAGATCAGGGAAAATTCTGGAACTGTCAGAGAAGCAAAAGGTCATTCCCACGGGAAGGCTGTGACACCACGTTCTAACAATAAAACACTCTCACGGGACAAAGGACCCCGTCCTGGTGAACCCTGGAGCGGAGGAAAGCGGCGGAGGCCGACAGCCCCAGAGGCACAGAAGACGGCTCGTGAGCCAGAGGCAGAAGGCAGGGGGCCGCTATGGTCTCCACCCCAAAGACCACGAGCTGTGAGTGGCTGTGGGTCTCTCCTCACGTCTTCCCGGAAGCCCAAGCGGCTCAGCTCTGCCAAGGTTGTCACAACCAGGGACCAACTCCCCTGGGGCAGTGCACGACCCGCCTTGGACTGTGGCAGCCTCCCACAGGCCAACGCCACGGAAGCACTCCCCACACACCCCAGTGGCGTTTGTGGTAACCCTCGGTCTTCTCAGCACAACTGAGCAAGCAAGCCCTAATAAGCAGCTCCATCCACCTACTTGTATATGGAGAGAGAGACTTACAAACAGGGTGGGCCCCAAGCCAAGGTGGAACACCAGGTGCTGCATGAGCAAGTGAAAGAAGGGGAAACCACCCTGGACGTGGTAGGTCCAGCAGTTTACACTCCTGCAATTAGCCTGGGACTGTGTGCTTTAGGAGCAACTGTAGAATTTGACAGCAAGTGCAAGCAGGAGCAAGGGAAGATCTGAGTCTGAGCTGACTCAGCACTGCCTGCAACAGGTCCAGAGGCCTTCCTAGATATGCTGGAGGACGTTCTGAGTGGGCAACTCAACTGGAGCAGGTAGAAGGGGAAACACTTGGACATTCCTCTCACTTCCACTCTATCCCTCACCTCTTTTCTCCTTTTATTTTTCTCATATTGTCTTAATATGGTTCTTTATTACTCCTTTAATTTGTATTTTTTATAACATACTTTTCTTTTTTAAAAAAACTTATTTTTAAATAAATTGCATGCATTTTATATTTGTTGTGATATTTTGATGTTGTATTTTTGAGAGTAATATTTTCCATGTTTCTGACATTTG